TTGGTTATTTCCAAAAAGATTGGGAATAATCATGTGCAGAGATGGCCAAAAACTAGGACAGGCAGAGTTTGATGAGAGTTGAAATGTTTGGGGTGCCAGATGTACATCTTTTAGACAATTTCAATAGTTTCCAAAATAAAGTAGTTTGCATTTTCATTGTTTGGGGGAGATTTTATCAACAAAATATGTTCATTGACTAATCAGGTCTTTGCAGCAGATTAGAAATTAGCAGCATGCTGGACACCGAAATAAGATGCAGAATCTCTCTTTCTGGCCCGGCTTTAAAAGAACCCGTGATAGGAGAATTCAGCCAGATGCTGTTTATCTTTCCAGAGTGTAATTTTGGGGCTAACAAAATAGTGAACTGCCTTCAGATCCCATGCTTCTAATCAATGTCAGGAACTGGATGTTATGAATGCATCTCTCCCAGAGGAATCAGTACTTAATGGATGTTTGACAGGCTTTTAATGTTTTTTTTTTTTTCCGAAAGGTTTATCTTTAGCTTCATTGTCACAGTTTGTTGCTAAGTCTGATGGCTGATGTCACAGATAAGTGTAACCAATGTCCCGTTGGTATGTTGTTTACCCAGGGGAAAAGTCATGAACGAGATATTTTTCAAGCAAGATAATATTGAAGCAGTGGCTGATGAATTTAACGTTTGAACAATATGTATTTGAGATGATGGTAACTGTTACTAAGAAATCCCACTCAAATTCTTTGAATACTTCTGCAGCTGGCTAACACAAAGTACCTCATAAGAATTTCTTTGAGAAGCTGACATGTCACACTGAAGCATTGAAATAACCTTTGAAGGCAAAATAGTCATCTGCTTGGGAAAAACACAGAAGTCTGTGTACAAATATGCAACTGATTCAAACCTATCATCTACACATTCTCATGTATTCCGTATATGAGCTTCTTGCAATGAATAGTAAACAGTGTCTGGTGTTTTAGGTGACACATCCAAGATACAGTTTGAGAATCCAAAATGCCCAACTAAACAAAGCTATAACCCAAGTCGTTAAGACTATGTTTGTTGACTTTTGAGAAATATCTGATGCTTGGTGAAAGCACTTTCTGCTTTTTTCTTGCTTTCAAAAATAAAAAGGGGGGAAACTAATGATTATACTCATTGATGGGAGCTCGAATCTCCATTAAAAGTTGAGCAACTTACTCTTGCCTTGAGCTGTTTTGATATGTACATATAAACACTGGAAAAATGAAAATTAAGAGATGAGCAGGGTGGAAAGAAGGCTAGTAATTTAGATGCAAATCCATAGGATAGTCCGGTTTCAGAGCAATTCATTTGTAACTTCTAGTTTTCCTAAGTGATATAGTTTCCTCCACACCTCAAGTATCACAGAAAGGTTGCACAGATTCTTCTGCCTCCAAGAAAATGCCAATCTCCCTGTGAATGCTTTCTGTTTGTAATAATGCAGGAGTACATAGATAGTCTATTTACACTAGTTAATCTTTTCACGATTGATCATGAAATTTGAATTTTAAAGACATCTTAGGAATTGGAATAGAATTACATCTTATATATAGTAACTATCTCAGGTTCTCATACTTTCATGCCAAGCATTTTACTGACTGAGTAACATCCCGCTGTTTGCAGATATTTTAGTACACCACTGCGGTTAAACTATTTAAAGCCTTGAACCAAAGAACAAACGTGAAGTCTCCAGCAAACAACTGATCATCTAAATGTCATACCTTTGATAGCTGTGGTCGTCTCAGTTTTCATCTTTATGTTTCTAAATTTCTTTCATGAGTACAATATATTTTTCAGTTTTGATACTGTTTCATGGAAGATGAGTTATTGCCACTCAAGTGAGCATTTGCACATCACTTGTGTGTGTACCTAGCTGGTGCTTACAGAGGCCAGAAGCGCACAACCAACTCCATGAAACTATAATTACAAATAGGCATGAACCATTGTTCAGACTCTGGGAATCAAACCTGAGTCCTCTCGAAGAGCAGCCAGTGCTCTTAACTACTGGGCAATCCTTTCAGCCCCCACTACCATTCACTTTAAAGTCTGCTGGATATACCATCACTTCATAGAAAGGTAGAGATGGAAAGTTAAGTGTTGCTTTCCTTTTTTTCTCCTTTTTCCTTGTTCTGATCTTGAGTATGATATGGATGACCTGAATATCTCCTGGTCGGCATACAGAAAATCTTACTTTTCTCTTCCTAGATAGTCTATGCGTTGATGAACCTGCTGTCAATTCTCTGACATCATATTTGTCTCATATTCTCCATGATATAAATGCATGTGAATTTTTCTTGCAGAAGCTATGCTTTCAGATTTCCAATGATTTCAAGTTTATATATTGTCTTGTTTTAAGAATACACGAAGGGAATTTGCAATTAATACTAATTTGAAAAACATGCAATGATATACATCATATATACAAGATAAAATATGAAAGAAGGCAGAAAAAAGGCAAATACAGCATGAAGGGCAAACAAAAAGTCAGAAAGCATAATTCATAATGTGATTTTCTATAATTATATTTATATCTGTTTGAGGAATAAGTGACCAATAGATTTATTGTAGGAGAAGTACTCTCTTAATATGTTTAATACATTAATAATCCAACTCTCACATGTGTGACAAAACAACTGATTCTTTTCTTCTTTAGGAGATCCACACAGGTATTCCCCTATTATCTATGAAAGTAAAGAATAAACTTGAGAGGATTCCCAAGGGTCATGTTCTAGCCCTCCATGGTGGAGGAGGAAATAAATTAAAATATCTATATTTGGATGAGCTGCAGAAATATTCAGGTATGCATTTTTTTCTTCCCAATGTGATCAGTGACACCTACATCATCTGCAAGAAATAAGCTTTTTGTTGTAGACATGCAAAAGAAAAGGTGCATTGGATAATTTGTTTCAGGTCCTGAAAGTCACACTGGTAAATCACTTGCAAGGCAAAGTTTCTGATGAAAAAGTCTGTATTTTATTTGAAGAAAAACTGCCCTTGAAAGCAAAAGTCAAGTTCTCTGATTGAATGAAAATAAACATAAAACAAAATCAAGGCCAATGCAGCTCCAAGGAAGGTAGGATAGCAGCAGTCATGTATTAAGGAACAAATATTGCATACCAGTTAGGCACACAATAAAAGGAGCAAGAGTACTATACCATAGGCAAAGTCAGCTCTGAGAGTGTTCTATGATCTCTCTTCTCAGCATCAGGCAGATGAACAATGTTGAGAGATCTGAGGATCATTCAATGCTATGGAAGCTAATACTGACTTTTGCCTTTTGTGAGGAGTTATGAGAGCTGTTCTGGTTATATCAGAGGACAGCCATTATTAATAGCCATATGCTTGTGGCTCAAAGAACAGAAGAAATACACTTTAGTATTGTTGGGGAATGAAGCAAGGACTTGAGTGTATGTTCCTAGGGAGTGCAGAGGGTGGAGCCCTGGAAATTTGAACTGGTGAAAAGCTTATCTATTCAGAGGAAAAAAAATACAGATTATTTATAACTTATCAAAGCTTTATTGCCTTCGAAATTTAGCAAATTTTTCCCATGCACTCTTAATTGCACGTGATAGTCCAGATATCCCATCTTTGCTAAGCAGATATTTTTTTGTGTATTAATTATAGTTAGTTTTAGATTTCCATTTTTTTATTGCAAGACAGTATTAACTATCTCATTTCTATACATTCATCTATGATCTAGCTTCTAGGTACCCATTTGCTAATCTAATCTATCTTTACCCCTCTTCCTCTTAATATATTCATACCCTTTTGCTCTATCATCTTTTTAGTTATTTATGGAACAAAGCTTATATCATATTTAACTATTCAAGATATGAACTTCTGATTTCCTTTCCAGACCTGTAATACCTCTTTTATGACAACATGATGTCATGATGCTTTTGATTCCACTGAAGAAGCCTTGCCAATATCCATGAAGAGTGAGGCCAGAAATGATCCTACTCTCCCCACGACTGTGGATGCTAAAGGCATTATGGACACCATTTCAATTGTAGCAATAACTTCTGTGTTGACTACAGATAATAGTTGAATCCAGTGAATCACACTTTAGTTTCCCAGTATCATAGATTTAAGGTCTTCATTTCTATTTTTACTGCATCTTCCTTGACCTAAAACTCAACAGGAACAAAAACTAATGAATTATGTGACTGAACACATTAATGCTAAGCATAGAATCATCTTCCCTCAGCAATAACTCCATTAAGTCCAACTACCTATACTGTATATTAATTTTTGTTCGTACTAAGATTTATTTTTAGTAAAGTTTCTTTTACTCTAATACAAACTTATTTTAGAAGCATGCTTTCTACAATCTTTTTCTTAAATAATCATAATTTAGAAGAATTATTTGGGTTATGAGTAGCAACTCAGCATTTATAGCTCTTATTTTAGTTTTTTTTATTTTTTGATAACTATCTAGGATATGTAAGCTGCTTTTTTTCCCTTGTTATGATATTATACCATGAATAAAAGTGACATGAAAGAAAATCTCTTCTGTCTACAGTTCTGTTTGGAGATTCTCTAAAGGCGAGACATGGAAGCAGGCATCTGGAGGAGAAGAGTGAGATACCACACCTCCAAACACAAACACAAGGCAGAGAGAGCAAGTGAAGCCCAGTGAGGCTACACATTTGCAATTTCTTCCTCTAGTGGTATACTTCTTCCAGCATGCCTCTGTCTGCAAACTGTAGCCTCCTCAAGTAGTTCTGCCAGCTGGACACTAAATACCTGACCCTTAAAACTTCCATCTGATTATAATTCTTCCATAAACTTCAAATGGCTGCTAAATATTTATTTGTGTGTCCCCACAACTAAAGACAACTGTTACTTCCCACTATGGAATTTTCTGATAGATGTTATACTATGGTATTTATGATCTTTACCATAGAAATTCTGTTTCCTCAACTCTAAGCACAGTGCAATGAAGTGAATAAATACTGTGAGCCTTCATTCATTTTCAAATAGAATACCTATGTGCAAAGAGTGGGTAGTTCCATACATGGTTTATTTTACTGGCAAAACAGTCAAATACTATTCTGGTATTGGTGTGTATTGTTCAGGGTTACACCTGTCTGCAGAACCAGTTGAGCAATATTGTGAGCTCGGACATCTGCAATAACATAGAAAAGAGCAGGTTAATAATAAGCCTAAGCTAATAGGCCAAATATTTTGTAATTAATATTAAGCCTCAGAGTGGTTATTCTGGGAACTGGTGGGCAGAAGAGATCGAAGTTACAGTGAAATTTAAAATATAGTCACTAGCTATACTTGATGTACAGTTGTACAATTGTGCCTAATGTTTTTGACCCAGAGATATGCTTCGTAATTTAGCTTAAACCTATCAGTGTAAACAATGCACATTGAATGTGCATAACATTTTAGGCCAAATTATAGTATTTATGTATTGAAAACACAATATACCCATCCATAGCAAATACAGATATGCTGAACTTGTTTATAGTAAATAGAAATTTTCAGAAAATAAAAATGGGAATTTCTCTTTTACCATTATAATGTAAAGGTGAGTAGACACAATTCTAGCTATAAAATCTTCTGGGAAGTAGTAAGGTAAATTCTTTACTACTTAATTTCATGGGAAATATGACAGTGACAGCAAAGGAGAGCAATAAGCAGTTCATATTTTATGTAACATATGTACATGAACATGCATGTGAAAAAGACATACAGCCCTTTGAGAGGTGCTGTATAATTGAGCATTATCCAGCAATCAGTTTTACATGCTCCTTTCGTCTAGATCTGAATTCTAAGAAATATTTATGATTTCCTTCATGAATTGTTTCCTTCAAAGGAATTATAGTATTAATTGCAATACATTTTTATACTGTTATAAAGAAGTATCCTAAGTATCAATGGAGAAGAGCTATGGAGAGGTTTTTATGCAGAGGAAATTGATGGGAAGCAGGGGAAGACTAGGATGCTGTCATGCTTTTCCATGATACCCTGCACAACCTGCTGAAAGGCATTCTACCCCCTGTAATCACATCTCTCTGTGACTCCTGATGCTCTGCTTTAGTGTTGTTTTTGGTTATATTTATTCTCTTACGGTGGTATCATGTCTGTTGTCAATTTTTACAGAAGTATGACATCTCTAAATTAAGTTTTGAGACGTAATAAAGCATCAATAATAAATGCAAAGGAAGTACAATAGAAATAGAAGAATTTAGTGTTTAAGCTTCATTTCACTTTGACCTTTATACTTTGGAAGCAGCTTTCTGCCAGTTGGCACCTGTAATGTCCCAGGCCAGAGTCATCTCACTGTCTGCCATATTATTGTGCTTAGCCTTCTCACTTACTCTGAGGGGAATGAGGCAAAATGTGCCTTGGATTTTATTGGTAAACTTAAGTTTCCAAAGATAAATTTTAAAAATTATCTGCTTTCTTACCTTCTGGGATTAATTTCTGGAATGCTCTCAGTGAGAGTAGCTTTGGTGATGCTGTTGCTGCGGTGGACATTTTTTTTTTTCAGAGAAGTTAGCGAGTGTGTGATCAGCTCTCTGTGGGCGTCACCTGTGTGCAATGATGGAGAGGGAAAATACAGAGAAGATGAAAAGGAAGCAATTAATGTAGCTTGTGTTTCAGATTCACGCCAATGTAATAATGAGTATTAATGATGCATTTTGGCAATAAAGCCATTTAATAGTCGTTAAACAGAAATTGCTATTCTTTATTAACAACAGATTGTCTTATAACACATTGACTAATTTCTCATTAAATTCGATACAAATTAGATGACAGTCTGTGTGTATAGCTAAAGAGAAAGGCCTCTCTGTTTTATTTCCCAAAGAATACAATAATTATCTTTAGAGGCGAGTTGGCTATACCTTGAAGTCATAATTAGAAAACAAAACACAAAGATTTTCTTTTTAAATGTTTAGAATAAGTATTCTAAGAAAGAGAAGCATAGTTCTAGTATAGAGTGTGAGGTTCAGGATAACAGCAAAAAAAAATTATTGCAGGGATTCTTAGTGTCTAGTCTTCCATCCCTCACACTGCTAAGGTATTGCTTAGAGGTGTTTCTGGTGGAAATGGAGCTTTTATGTTCATGAGGAGAAGAATGAAAGCATTTCTCCTCCTGCTTCTCTCTCTCTCTTTCTGTCTCTCTCTCTCGGTTTATTTTTTTGAGACAAGGTTTCTATGTGTACCTTTGGAGTCTGTCCTACAACTAGCTTTTGTAGATCAAGTTGGCCTCGAATTCAGAGAGGTCCTCCTACCTCTGCCTTCCAAGTGCTTGAATTAGAAGTGTGCACCACCACCACCTGACACTTCCTGATTCTTTTTCTTTATTTTTCCATTCAAAAATTTACACTTCCTCCCCTCCTCCCATTCCCCTCCAGCTCCCCCACTTACCCTCATCCCTCCCACTCCCTGCTTGAGAGAGGCCAGGGAACCCTGTCCTGTGGTAAGTCCAAGGCCCTCCACCCTACATCCATGCCTAGGAAGCTGTGCATCCAAATAGACTAGGGTCCCAAAAAGTCAGTACATGCTTCCCTGACCATGACCAATAACGACTTGCAACCAACCCCTTAAAAGATGGCACACATCCATAACCCATTGAATGTCAAAAAGCAAACAAAGAAACAAAAAATGCCCACCCAACCTCTTGGGAATACGGGTGTTGTGTCCTTTTGACTACTTCCTGCTGTATGAAGGCAACGGCATCTTTAGGTGACCCTGAGAAAATTGAGATAATGGCCAAGTCTGGGAGAATTAGCTGTTGTCCAATATCAGTGTGATGGGAAAGTGCAGGGCTTATCTGAACTCCTGTTAGGAGTAGTCTGTGAGGCTGGACCATTTCAGTTAGCCGATTTGATATTTTTCTAACTTTAACAGAGGCATTCTGAGAGGCTGGATTACCAATGCTCCTTTTTTGACTTTATTCATGGCTGGTTCTTTTGTTCTGAAAGTATACAAAATTTGATATGTCACAAACATATCAACACAGGTATGGAATGTGTGCTATATAAAAATCAGCTAAAGATGATTCTCTGTTTTATGTTGGAACAAACAAAAAGACATCTGTCAACTTTATATATCTGTTTGAACTGCATAACCAAACTGTAAAACACCCTCCATCGATGCCATATGAATAGATGGCATATAATAATAAGTCATGTGATCCCTGTAGCCAACAAGATCTTTCATGCCCCATATGGTATCAGAACTGTTCTCATGTAGAGGGATCATGGCATGTCACCTGTTTTGTAGCTTTTCTTTCCTTATCCTTCTTGTCTGTAGCCAGGATTTTCAGGACGTCTCCTTTGATCTGATGTGATCTTTATTAATTTTGAAAAAAAATCCGTAACATTTTGTTTCCTATGATAATAAAAGAATAACCTCTTCCCCAATACAATGTATTTTCTGACTTCATTCTGAAGTTAAGACATTCTTAAAATATATACGTTGATTTAATTTAGCATTTTTCTACAATCCAATGTCTCTTAGCAACATCTGTCCTCCACTCATCAGCATTAAAAAAAGCCAACAAAACTACATACAGAATCCAGGAGTCATTATTCTCTGTCTTTACAGAGCTTATTTTTATTTTTATATTACTTTATTCTTTCCTTAAATACTTTATTACTTTAAACTGTCTTATTTGTTTATTTTTATGAGTGTTAGTTGCTCAAATGCTCAACCACACATCAGAACCTCTTAAAAAAGCCACACCTCTGTATGCCTAGCCTGTCACATGGAAACCATACCAAGAAGTTGATTCTGACTCCATGTTTGGAACTCTTTTATTTGCCTTTTGACTTTCTGAGACCTTATGTGGATATATGTGGCTGAATGTTGGGCACCATATGTAATAATACTTTCTCATTGGGATCTTCAACCTGCAAATTATGACATAAAGACTTATAATTAACTATAAAATGTTGGCCTTTGGCTTAGGTTTGCCCCCAACTAGCTCTTATAACTCAAATTTACCTGTTTCTTTTAATCTATGCTCTGCCATGAGGTTTTTACCTGTCTTTCTTCCTTCCTTTTTTTGTGTTTTGTTTTTGTTTTTGTTTTCTCAAGACAGGGTTTCTCTGTGTAGCTGCCATGGCTCTGTAAACCAGGCTGGCCTCAAACTCACGGATATCCACCTGCCTCTACCTCCCAAGTGATGGGAATAAAGGTCTGTGCTATGACTGCCTGGTGGCTTTTACCTTTCATGTGTAGCAGATATCTCCAGAGTGCCTAAATTATATCCCTCTAAGTTCCTCTCTCTGCCAGGGAGTCCTCTCTAACACTCCTTGCCTAGCTATTTACCATTCAATTCTACATTAAGTCAATTAGAAGGTACTCTAGCAAAGACACATCTTCACTGTGTATAAAAAGATTATCCCACAACATCATGCAAGTACCCTGTTTCTTTATACTATATCGTTCAGGGAATAGCAAAATATAAAAAAGCCTAAATTTATATGTTCAACATATTTGTAATTTTTTTGAGTATTTGTGATCTTTAGGTAGTTAAATCTATGGCACTAAGGATCAGCTACATTGTATATATTGTAGACTTGAGTCCTACCTTTTAAAATATTTGTTGGCCTCTATAAATATCTCTATTAGTTCCTTTTATATGAGTTCTTTAATTATACTTAAATGTGGGTATTCAACTGAGGACTTTCTTATACATTCTAGGTAATATCTTTTTATGTTTTACTAAGTTTTATTATATAATCTACAGAAGGCCATTTTCCTGCAAATGTCATGAACTTTGAGCAGATCCCCCATTTCTATCCTTTCTCTTCTCACTTCTCCTCTCTCCTATAAGTCCCCTTTCTTTGTTGTCACATAGTTTTGCTTCTATGTCCATGCTATCAGTACACATATTGTGTATTTATAATCTCCAGCACCCACAAATGAGAGCAAACACATATTGTCTAAGACTGGCTACATTCTTTAATATGATTATGTCCAGTTAAGTCCATTTTCCTGCATACAATTTCATTAGTTATTGGTGAAAAATTCATTGTGCAGGTAACTGTATTTTTTAACATTTTTTATTGATTTATACATTTTGGTAACTCCATTTTCTTTATCATTTCCTCTGTTGTTGAATACCAAGTTTTTTTTCTAACTTAACTATTGTGAATAGTGTTGCAATGAATAGTGATATGCATGCATCTCTGTGATACATTGATTTGGCTGACTAATCTCTTTTTGTAAATATCTCAAACCTTGTCTTTTAAAACAAACCTTGCCTCAGGAGGCATTGGCAAGTGGATCTCTGTGAGTCTGAGGACAGACTGGTCTACAGGGTGAGTTTCTGGAGAGCCAGGGCTGTGTAAAGTAACCTTGTCTCAAAAAAAAAAAAATAAAACAAAAAAGCAACCCTTGCACAAGACTCTGCCTATCTATATTTAGTTGAGTGTCATCAGATAAAGGATGTCTGCCTTCAATCTTAAGCTTAAGGATTCTGGCTGATAACTCATGAACCATGTGAGGAGCCAGCTATCCTCTGACGTTGAAGAACTAAGCAGACTGTGGAGGCTATTCCTCACAGCTCAACTCTGAGAATCCCTAAAAAGCAATAGATGAACATGACTAGATTTCAGCAACCTACTTTAAACCAGACTTCAGATTTCCTCACAACCCGCTCTGGAGGCCAGCCTGACATAGAATCAGCATCTAGAACTTTCGAGACATTCCCAAATCTAATGATTCTATTGTGCCCATTGTAAACCCTGCTTTCACACACTGAGTTGGTAAGGCCTTAACCAGGCTAAATTCTAGACAGATTGTGTTGGCTAGTTTTTCCTATTTGGACACAAACTACAATCATCTGGTAGAGGGAACTTTTACTGAAGAATTACCTCCATCAGAATGACCTAAAGGCACATCTGCGGAGAATTATCTTGATGGTAGGTGGTTGGGGGGACCATACCACCCCTATATGTGGTACCAAACCTGGGCAAGGGCAAGTGGTTCAAGCTGAGAAAACCACATGAGAAAAACATTAAGCAACTTCCCTCTGTTGTTCCTGCTTTTGCTCCTAGTTGTATTTCTGCCCTGACTTCCCTCAGTGATGGATTGTGACAGGCAAAATAAAACCATTTCTTTTTCCAAATTTCTTTTACTTAGATTATTTTTATCACAGAGATGGGATGCAAACTAGAACACTAGAACACAGGTGAAGTTGTCCGTGTGTTGGGGGAGATGATAGATAGATGATTAGTGATAGATGAGAGATGGATGAGTGAGAGAGGTTAGCAACAGGTGGATAAGACACTTGGTTCTATGGATATTAAGGGTCTTAGGTTCCTGGTAAGGAACAGTAAGTGCATTTAAATAAAGTGGACTGATTCCTCTAGAGCTATCATTTACCAAAGATCTTGAAAATGAAATGGATAACTTAAGTGATCCTATATTGTAAGGAAATTGAATTTTCCATCAAACATTTCCCTTTAAAATGGAAAGTCTGGGCTCCTATGCCTTTACTGGTGAATTCTATTAAATATGAAAAGAAGATAATAACATAAATCATATATATTAATATTAATCCTCAAAGAACTCTAAATTTTAGGAGGTAATGGTTTTCAACTGATACCATTGAACATCATTATTATAAAGCCAAAGGAATAATGACTTATAAGAAATATTAGTGAATAGAATAAATGCAGATCTAAAACCTTTCAGAATTCTATGCATTGAAATTCAGAGTAGCTATCATAATTAATCATTAAATATCAATTGCTTCTCTTTATGAGAAGGTGAGATGAAAATATTTACCTCTTCTACCATTTCTCAGTAACTTTACCCCACTGCAAGTTCTAGCCAATGGTAAAAGGACAACAAACAAAAAAGCACAAAATATTATTAGGAAAAAAACTTCACTTTTTTATTGTTAGCTATTCCTTTATGAAGAATCTAACAAAAGCTACAAGATACCCTCTAAAACTTAAGAGTGAGAACGTGGATGGGTAGTGTACACATGTTTACCCAGCACTCACAAAGTGCAAGCAGGAAGACTCAGATAGTCTCTGATTACAAAGTGAGATGAGAGCCAGCCTATCACATACATGATGTTGAGATGCTGTCTCAAAACCAAAGCACACGCTAAAAACCAAATAAATATTTAACATCAGAAACCTATCCAAACTAATAAGCAAGGTATTCATCCATTAAGTCATGAATTAATATTCTTATCAGCATCATTGTAATACCACTAACCTGGAAATGATCTAATTTTTTACCAGTAGGTGAAATGGTAAATGAATATTTGTATATTTGTTAAAAGGCTTCCCACTCAGCATTAGCACAAAATGAACTACCGACAGAAACATCAGCATGGACAAATCTAAACACAATTATGCTAAGTGAAAGAAGCTGAGCAAAAAACAAAAATTCATATCCTAGGATTCAATTTCCATAAAAACCGAGAAAATGCAAATCAGTCTAAAGTGACAGCAAGTAGTCCATGGTTCCTTGTGGAGGGCTGTAAAGTGGAAAGGGGAGTCACGAAGGACAAAGATGTGTCTGAGGACAACGGGTATGTTTACTGCTATGATTATGATTATGGTTCCCTACTTGTCTACATATAATAAACATTTCACATTGAATATCTGAAAATGGTTTATGTCAAAACATAAATTAAAGATAAAATTTAAAGTAGTAAACTCTAAAGTGTATATGGTATGCTCACATAAAAAATTATTTGATAATTTAAAAAAATAACTTGTTAGTATGAACATTTTACCCTGGGGAAAAATGTGCTTATGTTCATTATGGCATTCGAAATAATTTTCATTTGGTTTTACCACTATTGAGCTAAATAAAACAGCACAAAATAAAACTCTTGTGTTTAAATGTACCCACAGTTGTTTCCCCCTGAACAAATTTACTTGTCTGTAGTGACCAGATCCTTGCTTTTGACAATATCAATCTTTGTTCCATTTTTGTAAAATCTCCAGTTTATTTTAGAGTGCTTTTTACCAGGATCCAAGAATTAGATCTAAAAAAGTCTAATCTTAAAGTTTCTTCTTGATTTATAATTTATTCATTTATCATTTTAATTGATCAGTTCTAATTTGATGACTGATAATTTGAAAACCAAACCTCAGCTGAATAGGTCTGTATTATCTTAGAAAGTTTAGTAAAATGATTAACATTTTATTGACACCATTATAAACTGTAGTTTTGATTAGGTGTGAAGAAATTTTCTATAACAACAGCACAGTGTTTGTTGCCTAGCCAGTCCTGGGAGTCACTGAATATTTTGAACACCAGGACGTCTTTGGAAGCAGTAAGAACTAAAAAGAACTAGAAAAATGCTGCTAAGTGGATTTGCATCAATTTAGTGGATCAAGAAGATACATGTCTTCTTTTTTTAAATCAAAGACTCAATTGATAGTTTTTAATTTAGATAAGAAAGTAAAAAAAAATCTAAGGTCTTTAGCTACTAAAGGAAGAGGATTCCCAGAAGTTTTCATGAATATAAAGTGACTTTTCGAAGAAGTGCTTATTAAGCCCATTTCCTCATGGAACATAAAGAAAAACAATACATTCAACTTAGAGTTGTAGAAATCGAGGATGATGCAGCAACTTCTTACCTGCACTCTGAACTCTCTACAAAAAATAATGACCTGGACTAGCTCCACAAAATAGGCAGACATAAATTTATATTTTATTTTAGTGACATTTAAATAGATGGCTGTTTAAAATTAAGAATAAAGTTTAACATTAAGCTAAACACCAGGACATTATTTTAAGTACAAATTTGAAAGTTTTGTCCTGTGCATCTTTACTAAGCTCTGAAGAATCACTGCTTCTGAAAGTATATCTTCAGAATAACACCACTTTCATTCTGTCTCTCCAGCAACACCTCCTCCCATCCTAACTCAATTCCCTGCCTCTTAGTTGAGGGCCCAGGATCCCCTTAGCTCTTTTTCACCCACCTCTCCACCTTTTGTTCTAGCCCATCTCCTTTCTTTTGGGTCATCTGCTGATCTCCAAAAGCACTCTATACCAGGATCCCCCAGTGGCCATAGAGGACTTGGGCAAAGGTTGATGATTTTCACCAGTCTTCCTGGCCTCCAATCTGGTCTCTAGAGAATTATTCTTAGTCTGGTAGCAGCATGCCTGCAGGAACTTCTCCTACTCCACTTTCTAGAGATTCCATCGCATAGCAGGAGAAGAGGACATGTTTCCCCCAGATTTTTATTTTTCCTCCCAGCTCACCTCTTTTTCTTATTTCTATTTCTGCAGACATGAAGGAGCATGCTGTACCAGGGACCCCACAGCCAACACACTTTGCCTAGAATCCAGGGTAGGTAAGTGTAACCAAAGAACAGAATACCTGTCCAACAAAGTTAAGACTATATATATTCACTAAAAACACCTTAAATATCATAACTCCAGATGCCTATATCCCAGCACAAAACACAATCATGAACAGCCAAGACACTACAAGTACTCCTACAGTCAGTAATCCTATTGTAGTAGCCTCTAAAAATGCAATTTAATACAAGGACTTCAAAATAGCAATCCTAAATATGTTCAAGGATCTTAAAGAAAATATGAATAAATGCATTTAAAAAAGAGCTTGAACATATAAACAGCTGGATGAAATGATGAAAACATTTTCAGACACAAAAACAGAAAGAGAATCACTAAAGAAAACTCAAGTTGAAATAAAACTGGAAATGAAAAATTTAAAATGTCAAACAAAATATCAGAGGTAAGCATTGTCAACAGATTATAAGTCTTGGAAGAGAGAATCTAAACTACTGAAGGTAAATAGTAGAATTCTTCAATCAAAGAGAACATTAAATCTAAAAATGTATGTGTGCAACTATGTTCATAGCAGCTTTGTTTGTCATAGCCAGAACCTGGAAACAACCTAAATTCCTCTCGATCTAAGAATGGATAAGAAAAAATGTGGTACATTTATACAATGGAGTACTACACAACAGAAAAAAATAATGACAGCTTAACTTATGCAGGAAAATGGATGGAGCTAAAACACATTATTTTGAGTGAGGTAACCCAGACACAAAAAGACAATTATCACATGTACTAACTCATAGGTGGTTCTGAAACCTAAAGTAAAGAAAGCCAGCCTACAAACCACAATCCCAGAGAATTTAGACAACAATATGGACACTAAGAGAGACTTACATAGATATGATCTACATGAGAAGTAGAAAGTAGAAAAAGACAAGATCTCTTGAGTAAATTGGGAGCGTGGAGACCTTGGGGGAGGATTGAATGGGGGAGGGGAGAGGTAGGAAGAGGAGTAGAGAAAAATATAGAGCTCAATAAATATCAATAAAATAAAAATAAAGAAAGAATAAAAAATAAAAATACAGGCATAAAAGCATTCAGAAAATCTAAAACACTGTGACAAGATAAAAACTACAAATAGTGGGGCTAGAGGAAGGAGAAGAAACCCTGATCAAGGCACAGAAAATACCTTTAACAAAATCATCTAAGAAAATTTCCCTAACTTAAAGAAGGAAGTGCCTATCAAGATTTAAGGAGTGTAGGGAACACCAAACTGGACCAGAAAAGATATTTCCTGTGCACATAATAATCAAATATAAGTATATAAAATAAAGAAGGGATAGTAACAGCTGCAAAAGCCCCCCTTAAGAGGAAGACATTTGCTATTGATACTGGCAAAGGGAAAATCAGCTTTTTCTGATGAAGTTTCATTAGGATATCAACAACACATCAGGGCAGACTCCATGGCTAGTAGTAGCTGACTAACAAAACAAAACAAAACAAACAAACAAAAAACCCAACTCAATGGTATGTTTTTGGTTTTGGATTTATTTTCTTTGTTTTAGAAATATTTATCTTATTGTTTTTTTGCTTATTTGCTTTATTTTTATTTTTGTGTTTCTTGGCCCTTTCATTTGTTTTTGCGTCTTCATTATTTTTGGAAAGAGAATGACAAAAAATATGAATTTGTGGAGATGGAGAGGTGGGAAAATCTAGGAGGAATTGGAGGATAGAAAATAACTAAAATATAGTATATTAAAATATTTTTCATTAAAATGCCTCTACGTTGGTGTCATGCAAAATTCCTCCTTTATTGGGGAGAACAATCCCAATTTAATGATAGAAAACTTAGCATGTACTTTCCACAGACAACTTCTGCATTGTAATCAGACAAGATCAGGAGTTTTCATTCTGACAATGTGTTAGACTAGATATGGTGAATTCATGTGATCAGACATGAAAAATGATAAATTAAAAGCAAAATTTAAAAAAGCTTGAAATGCTGCTCAAATAAAGAACAGTTGCCTATCAGAGGAGAAGCCTTGGGTTTGATCACAGGTATAACAAAATAAGGTAGACTAACAGACATTGCAACGCATATCTGAATCATAAGAAAATTTTACCACTAGGAGACTGGAGAATAGCTTGTTTGTAGAATACTTGCCCACAAGCATGAAGATCTGCATTCAGTCCTTGTCAGTTGTATAAAAGCTGGGTCTGGTGACGCATGTTTTCATATCAGTGTTGGGGAGGAGGAAATGGCTGGATTCCTAGGACTCACCAGCCAACTGATCCTCTAGCCTCGTCAAAGAGTCACAATTCCTAGTTGGAGATTGTCTAAAGATATTTGGAAAGGGTAGAAAGGTTTACGAATGACACCTGAAGCTGAGCGCGCGCGCACGTGCACGCACGCACACACACACACACACACACACACACACACAGTGTACATATGACCTAGATATCCTCGAGCTGAAAAAAATGATGTCAAATTATGTTCATATCACTAAGACCCATTATGCATTTAAGAGAAAAGATTTGTAAAACGCTGTTAGTAAACATTCTTAGACAAAACTGCCCAGGCATATTTCAAGTAACCTTTTTAAAAATATAAAATTAATAAGAAAAAGGAAACAAACCATTTAAGCTACATGGAGAACTGAAGGTTATACTATGATGGGGAAACTCTGTCAGCCAATCACGGCTAATTGGCGCGTGGCAACCTGGACCCCAGGAAGAAAAACTGGGAGATCCAGGTGCTCACTCTCTCTGAGTGGTACCCGCCTGACCGATTGGAAGTCAGACCTCCCACTCTTAGTTTCCCCTCTTTAATCAATAAAGTATTACTGTTATTCTTGAGCCAGCCTGGTTATTTATCGTACCGACCTAATTTCTTACAATACTATTTAACTGTTGCTTAGTAGCTTACACACTGTTCATCTTACCCCAGCTTGCATGATTGCTGAACTCAGTGCATAGGAAGGAGGTGATTTCTGTTTCCTCATGTTTTGGAATTTCATATGTACATTCAGGACTGGCATTAAAATCAGATGAAGCTGGGAAAACAAGAGGTGCTTCCATGGTTCCTTCCAAGGTTGCTGACTCCCAGAACTGCCAAGCACTGCTAACTATTGCCTGCGGCTTCTGATATTTTCCCCATGATGATCTCTACGGAGATGCCTGAAGGGTGTTGAATGTTGGAAGATGATTTACACCAGAAAGAGCAACAAAAGACCAAGGAGAAGGATGTGATATTTTCTTTGCGGTAACCTTCTCAATCACCTGTTTCCACGTTTGAAATGACCTGTGTTAAATAGGTCGGTCCTATTAAATGTAAAAGCATGTCACAAAGCATGATTTCTTTGGGAAGTCACAGAATGGTTTGGAAGAGACTGAGGGATGTGTATGTTGTCTTAGAATTTCCTATCCATGGAAAGGGTTCATGAGGGCAACAAAAGATACTTTGTATAAAATTTGAAGGGAAGTGAAGTAGGTTCTTTCTGTAGCCAACAGCTAGCATTGTAATTCTTTTGCTTTCTTGGGGTGAAACCACAAAGATAATGTTCCTGCTACAACCCCTCTTTCAATACCTTGGTGTTCTGAGCCAGGTACTTTGCAGCTCATATTAGTATCACAAGCAGACTGTGTCATCTTGGAAATGAACATTAGGAAGCAGTAGAAATGGCATGAATTCCAGTAAGCTTTTAAATGTCTATTCATTTCTAATATCAACATTTCTCACTCATCTTTCCCCAATCATTGCTTTTTCGAATGTCTTCAGCATAAAACACAGAAACAATAGGGCCATGAAGCTTTACACCCAAAACCCACAAATACATATGACACAAATCCCTTATTATAAACAAATCCGCTGTTTCTTTTTCTTGGATAAAACTTTGGCCCAAAGATTGCAAAATAAGTAGCTTGAAATTGAATGAAGCAGAAAAGAAGAAATCGATTACAATAAGAAGTAAATAGCATTAAATGCAGATACATGTGAAAGAAGGCCAGAGAGAAGTTTCAAAAATGAAAATATTTTAAATGATGGAAAAATATTCCCATGTATCAGTTTATTATTTAGGTGTAATTAGGATGTAGGTAGCTCTGACAAAATTTCAAATCAATCACAGTTCAAATGTGTTTTCATGTCTTTTAATAAATGGAAGAAATATAGGATATCCACAGATAATAAAAGATTTCTACACTGGCAGCAAGACAATTTACTTTTTCTGACATGCCAAACAAGTTTCTATATCTAAGGCCAGAATGATAGCTCCACACAGCTGTCATGTCTGCATTCCCTAAAACTGAATGTCTTAATCAGTATAGGCAATTAGACAAACTTTGTATAGTGAATGGCTTAAGAAACATTTATTACAATTCTGGTGACTGGAAAGGTAAAGTTCTGCTAGATTCAGTGTTTAGTTATTTCTTGATTTACAGAGAGCAGCCTTGTCTCTATACTCATATGGCATATAGTTGCTCTCTGGGTTCCTGGGGTCTTCCCTTTCTCCTTTCTTCATTCCTAATTCTTTCCTGCATTCCATCTTTCTTTCTTTCTTTCCTTCCTTCCTTCCTTCCTTCCTTCCTTCCTTCCTTCCTTCCTTCCTTCCTTCCTTCCTTTTGCTGATTTTAGTTATTTGACCCAAGGCCGTGTGTACCCCAAACTGATCCCAAACTGAACTTCCCTTATGGATGATGACCCTGAACTTCTGTTCCTCAAGTCCTGGCTCCTGAGTGTTGGGATTCATGTGTATGTAGCACTGGGTTGTTTTTGGTTTGTTTATTTATTTGTTTGTGCTTTATAAGAAATGAGTCTCATTCATGCAGGTGTTACCTCCATGACTCAGTCATCATCCAAAAGCATCCCCTTTAAAAGCCATCACACTTGAGTAAGAGTTTCAACATATACATTTGGAAAGGCACAAGGAGTTTCAGCCTTTGCAGGATGAGAAGTTCCATACTTTTTCTTCCCAAGCTACTATCCATAGTCTGCTCCTACTAACTTCATTTATCTACCAGGAACCTGGAAATAAGAAGCTTCCAAGAAGGTTTAAAATTGTATTTAAGAACAATCTGTACCTGCTAAATATTGCATCACTACAAGTGAATATGGACTGAAAGAGGGCAAATTATATTCTTTAAAGGTTTGTTTAAAAGGAGACAAGGCAATTAGTTCCTAAGTCAATTAATATGGAGACAGTATTAATAAATTTGAAAAACATTAAAGCAAATTTGAGCTATAAAAATAATACAGAAAATAAGGAAACATCAAAATATGATAAATTTAATATCAGATGCATTTCTTCAAAGAATAATTGAAATAAATGTTAATATTTGAAAAGCAGAGGAAGATAAAATGAATGAAATTCTATACAAAAACACACATAAATACATATATACATACACATAAAAACACACTCACATAAACAGACACAAAGACACACACACACACACACACACACACACACACACACACTGCCATAAAACCAAGCAGAAAAGACAGAAAAAAGTTCTTCAAAATTAACAAAGAATAAACTATGTAAGTAGCTACTGGATTTTCCATGAAAATCTACATTTCAATGTGTATTGTTTACAGGGAAATAAACACATCTATTTGCAACCCCCAAAGAAAGACAGAATAAACATGCAAAAGATATATAACCTGCGCAGTCCTGACTTCCAGTGCTCCAATATATAAGGGGACTGATCGAATGAGAGCTCACCAAGGCCAGCTGGACTGGGACTGAACGAGCATTTGATCAAACTGGATTCTCTGAATGTGGCTGACATGGGGACTGACTGAGCCCCCGAGGTCCAAATGAAGACTGAGAAGCCATTGACAATGGCACTGGGTCCTGTTTCGTCTGCATAGACTGGCTTTTTGGGATCATGGCCTGTTTGGATGCTCACCTTCCTGGACCCGGAGGGAGGGGGGAGGAACTTGGATTTCCCACAGGACAGGAAACCCTGACTGCTCTTGGGAATGGTGAGGGAGGAGGAGAGGGAGTGGGGGGAGCAGGAGGGTATTGGGAGGAGGGGAGGAAGTGGAAGGAGTGTTTTCGGATACTTGAATAAACAAACAAACAAACAAACAAAAAATATATATAACCTGAATCTGAAAACAAATTAAAGCCCCTGCAATATGCAGTGGAATCTTTGCGGGTAGTCTGAGAAAATATTGCTATTAGTGTCTGGAGATTATACTAAAGCATACTTTAGCATTATACTAAAGCATCGTGGTATCATATCTGCAAGGTGGTCCCATTTCTCACTACATTAAATTACTAGCAGAATATACTACAAATTCTCCCTAGAGCAAAATGTAAACCTAGGATTTAAAAATTGAGATGAGAGAAATCAAGGAAGGCACTGTGAGCAAGCAAGAAGAAACAGGTAGCACACACATAATTACAATTTTTCTAAGGGCTTCTGATGATGAAATGACCAGAAATGGAAGAAAAATAAATATAAATAAACTTGTTTGGGTAAATAAGTAAAGCCAGTAAATAACAAAATATTGTTGAGACTGAATAGATGCATTATTCTGTTTCTGGTTATGGAATTTTTAAACATTAAAAATGTAACAAATGTGGATACTTTGAGTTAATTTTTTTCAGAATATTGTGGTAGCTAACACAAGAATCATCTAAGGCAAAGGAAAATAATTGTGTGACTATCTTTGACCTCACTGGACTGAGGAAACAGACTAGCTAGAGAGGGCTAAGGTACATACAGTATGAACTATGACCAGATTACCAATGAGGAAGTAGGTATCTAAAGGAGGACCTCCTAGAACACGCGCAGGATTCCCTCAAGCATGGGGCTAAGTATGAAATTGTTCATTCATGGGGAACTCAACGGGCTGAGATTTGAGCTGAGTAAATCCCAGAGTTCAAACAGAGCTAGAAAGCATCTCCTATAATCCTCAACACAATGAACATTCAGAGAATTCAGTGGGCGGCATTACAGGGGTCAGGCCTTTAAATTATTTCGTAATATTCCTAAAGTATCAACTTATAATATGATAAGTTTTGTAAACAGAAGAACCACCATTAAAGTGTGAGAAGTTAGAGCTGCTAAATAAAATAAAAATAAATACTAAAATATACAATATTAATTTCAAAGCAGGAAAAATTGGACAGGTCCTAAAAATAGGTAAAGATATACATGTTGACATCTTTGCTAATAAATTTTTCTCAGCATGAACTACAAAACAAACTAAATTCTGATTAAAATATCAACAATACTTTTATATAAATTGACTATCAGATTCTAAAGCTTGTAAGAAATGTGAACCATTTAGCATCATCAGAGTGCTTTTAAAAATCAGGTTGAAGAATTTATGCTATCTGATATCAATATTCATATCATAATACACTATTGAAAGTGAAATATTGGCATATGGAGCCACATTCAGATTGATGGAACAATATATTCAAGAAAAGTGCATGCATATGTAATCCATGGATTTTTATCAAATTTGTCAATATAATTTAATGAGAAAAATGATGCTGATACAGCAGCAAGGAAAAAACCAAATGGTTCTCTCTTATGTTATAAAGGATGATTCCTGTCCAATTAATGAAATTTAGAATCCTGGTGATGTAGAACATGATGGACCACAAATAAGAGACAATCTTCTCTTGTACTCCTTGCCAGAAGAATAGAACACTTGGAGGTCCTCTTCAGATCAAAAAGACAATATGTTTCATATCTGAGGATGATCTTATAGTTCACATACTACAGATTACATAATACAACTGCTTGCAGTTGTTATTGTAAGTAAGTACTACACACATTGTAAGTACTACACACATTGTAAGTACTACACACTAGAAACCTAGTGAAAAGAATGGGTTGCCCAGTTCATAATCTCCCAAATGCTAGTAGGCTGTTGAGCATATGAACATAGTAAGCATGTGGATGTGAGAAAGAATGTCTGTGAGTCTAATACCATGGACTCTATTCCAATATTCATCTATCAGTCATTGAATTGCACTGACACTTCCCACTGACATAGTGGAACAACAAATGGTCAGTTCAATATTCCAATGTAGTAGTGCCCGTCTCAGAAACTGGACTATATAAACGCGAGATTTCATTTACCAGGACATGGAATTATTCCTTATGAACAACCATATCCCTTATTATTAGTAGGTAGACTTCATGATCCTGATAATCCTAGAATCTACATATGGGGGGATAAGTTTTTTTTCTTTAGAGATAGTTTGACTCTACTTAACATTGTATATTCATTCATTTCCAAGCAAATTTTGTGACTTTATTTTTCTTTAGAACTGAACAATATTCCATTTTATATATGTAGCACTATGCATTGTGTATTTGCC